CAGCCTAATAGTTTGATGCCAGTCCCTTACTGGATATGATGAGTTATTTGCTGTCAGACTATCCATATTCACAATGTAACGCAGCAGTCATTATCAGACATGCGCCTAGTTCCAAGTTTTCTTCCCGGTAGCTGGTTCCTGGTTCCTGATTCCAGAACCAGGAAGAATGTGTTATCTGTATCGTATTAGCGGCCATGGTTCCCTTCCGCTCCCTCTCCCTCCATCAGTTTGCAAATGTCACGAGGAGTTTAGGTTATGACAGTCCTACCAGAGAAATGTCAAAGCGTGTGATTGCAGTTTACATGACGTTTATCCATGTGGGATATTTACGTTCGTGTGCAAGGCCTTAAGCAATACAAATTATTGCTAATCCACAAATACTGGCGCATTGCGATCCTATTTTTAAAAAGTGGAGTTACTAAAATTAGGGACGTTGCAAAGCAGCAGTTAATCTCCTTAGTGCATAGGAGGCTTACTTCGAACCTGCGAGCTGCAACGGATGCCCTGCTTACGCTAGTAGATATCCCTAGAGTAACCACAAGAAACAGATGTCACTTTCATGAAAAACTCACCAAAAAACCATCATTGTCGTGTGGCGACGTGGGTTAGCCCCTGTCTCTGGAATTCCAACGTGTCACTTAAACTACCCATAACAGATGCTCTTGAGGCAACGAAAAGTTGCATGAAGAGGCTCACAGGACATCATTTTCTTGAAGAGTATACTTCTTCGTGATGCATTTGACGAACCATGTGGCTGGGTGTCCTACGTGTATATATATTTTATGACTATTACGTACGCATTCACCCCGTAAATGGCGAATCTGTTTTTCGATCACCCACCTGCAACAAGCTTGCTTAGTCAGGTGAGTAGCGGAAAGTGGAGCCTTCGACTTCATCCCTCGGGCTAGACCTTTGCCACTCCCAGCCTGCGTGAATATTGCTGGTGAATATTGCTGTACTAAAATCGTGGGAGTGGGCTACTTTTCTGCGACTTGCGTTTCTTATTTTTGCTGTTAATGTATGGTTCATCGTGTCGCATGGAATAGTGGGAGGGTCACTACTGGCTGCCCGTTAAGTTGTTTACGGGTGGGCGACGGGGTGGCAGCCAGGGCCGTAGGATAATAGCGCAACAGCACGGTGGCAGCACAGAATTATTGAAGCCAAGTCGAAGAGCAGAAGCCAAGGGTCTTGAAAGGGGTGAGCGAATTTCATGTAGTCGAACTTCAAGTACCGTCAAGCGTGCGGCTCTGGTCAGATTACCACCACAGGATCCCCTCATACTGAGTGCTCGAAGTTTGACATGCAAGACGTTCTTGTCTATCACGGTCAATAATGGCGAGGAGCAGTGAAGAGAGTAGGGACAAAAAAAAAAATACTGAGCGAGTCCTAAATGCCTCATCAAAAACAAGCGTCCACAGACGGACGGGTGTAACTTCACAAAACACAAAATGAGATGGTGTAGGTGAGCTGAATGGTGTAAATTTACTCCAGCTACCACCAGATTACGGTAACAAATAGGCTTTTGCACAGATTTAGCACGTTCTCTTCTCAAAGTTCGGATGGGGGGGGGGGAAGGGAGAGGGAAGAGAAAGGTAAACCCTATGGGCGAGACATTTGCGTTGATGTTTGAGTGTGTCTAGTACGCGGCGTTAGGCGGCACAACATAAGTGATGCCACTCAGTGCCGATAGCGTGACAGGGGCGTATTTTGCAAAATGTATTGGCGTGGGGGTAAGAGCAGTTCAAATTTATGAGACCCACCTCAAAAGTACACAAGCAAACGCTTTTTCGCGGGTTTGCTCACTTTCTTCACAAAATTGGGGAGACTGGAGTTTTAGTGTAGGAGGTGGGGGATCACTACTAAGCAGGAAACTACACCCCTGCAACCTGAGGTCATTAGTTTATTGTGTGCGTACTCAGGTGCACATGAACATGGCCGGTGGCCTCGAGGAGAGAACGCAAGTAACTGAATAACCATCGCCCTGATTCGCCGTTTTTAGTAAAGCGGACTTACAGCGGGGTCGATGCGACACCACCCGTCCGTTTGCCATCGAACAGCCACGTCGATTGCCGCCCACCGCCCTCGTTGGCCGTAGATCGCCGCGGAGTGCCCCACATTCAGGGGACGCAGGGGCGTAGAAGGTGGAGCGATGACGACACTGGCCAATGCTGGGTGGAAAGAAGAGGCAAGGTGGGGCGGGGGGGGGGGGGGGCAGTAGCCGAAGTTCATACTGTAATTGGTGTGAGGATGAAAGAAACATCCCTCGCAATTTATTTTGACAATTTTCTTTTTGCCTATCGTCATTGTGTGCTGTAATCCGCCACCCTCTTCTTTTCTGTCATGTCCCTTCATGCCATCCCCATTACTGTCCTAGCTTATTTTGCTTGCTGTTCTACACCCAGGGTGCCGGTAGTGCATTGGATCAGTGTACTGGTACTTGAGTGTTTGCGTTAACCACGTTTTGCGTTAACCACGTACACGTTTGGGAAACCAGAGGAACAGGGTTCAATTTCTCGCGGTGCCCTCCCTTTCTGCCAGGGTGAGAGGCGAGCGACGTCATGGCCTCAGCAGTTGAGCGCGACATTAAGTCCCGATAACGACTGCTGTTTCATGCGTTTCAAGGTTTTGCCCTGTCCTTTCCTACCCTGTGCTATTATCTTCTCCTCAATCCTGTTCTAACTTGTCCTCTCTCATCCTGCCCCGGCCGCAAACATGTCCTGTTCTGTCCTATTGCCACCTATCCTCCATTTCCTGTCTTCTGGCTGTCATGGCACGCCCAGTGATGGCGAGACTTCCATGGAGATCGGGGGACGAAAAACATGATTTGTATCCCTTCTTTATTTGCTGCATGCCCATGCGTGTAATCCGCCAATGTTGTCTGTAGAATGTTTATTTTATTGCAAACTTCCAATTCAAAATGTCATTATCATTACAGGTAGTCTCCTTTACATTCCAGTCTCAGTCTTTCAATCCCGATTGTCCCCACGAGCTCAGAGTCGTGATTACGCCCATGCCCAAAAAGCCAGATTTCTTGGACAGTATGTTGCTTTCTTAAAGATGATTCCCAATGCCTGTCAACTTGTTTTTGTTTTGCGTCTCCCTGACTCGTTCTTGTCCTGCTCCACTTCGCTGATATGTCAACGTCACTTACTTCTCCACGCGTACCACTTCGCCGTTTAATACATATGTGTTATATTTGTCAATTGTATGTGTACAGCAGCGATTGCCCAACAGTACAGTAAGAAAACTTGTCTAATTTGGTAGCTTTGCAGCGGATTTATGTCAGCAGTGGCGTTTTTTATCTACCGGAATAAAAACTGTTCGGGCAGGTTCAGGTTTTCGTATGAGTTTCCTTTAGAACATGATGGCTGTTTGCTGAAAAGTGATGCATGCTTTCAAGTGTAATGCAGCATTCACGCTCTTTACAATCGTGGGAAAGTTATGACATAATACTAATTCAAACTCCAAAGTTTTTACTGTCGTAGCATCTGCTTCATGTTTTTACAAACGAGAGCCTGTCAAACGTTTAATGGAAACTTAAGTTCTACGACATGATTACACATCTTGTACATTTCCAGCACCTAACTAAAATCTACGCACTGGATTTTGTTTGTAATAGGGTATGTGGACAAGTCATCAGTTTGGACCAGGGCTGGCTTAGGGCTTTCTATCAGTTGCTCATCGAACAACAACAATGCCTCGAACGATTGAAACGAATATCACTTCTGATATTCGTCTTCTTTAAGGCACGTAGCTCCCCCCCCGAAAAAATATTTTCTCTTTTCTATCCCTCTATCCGCATCCCCCTATCGGTACCCTATCTCTCTTTTCTTCTGGTTATACCACGAGAAATAATGCCACCTGTACCGTCTTTTCTCTATGCATAATGTTTCCCGCGAACGCACTGAACAGCTTACGTAGGTATGGTATTATCCTGAAAGTTAGTGCTTGATTTCGTTTTACCGTTTCCGTTTGCGTGCCAGGTGCTGTGGAATGATGACAATTGTTCAGTTTTTATCGGCAGCAGAGCGTGAAGCGTAACTTTGCTTGCTAACGACGTTTATTCGGTACCTCTTGGCATATCGAAAATCGATAACTGTCAGCAAAGAACTCCAGAAGCTCCAAAGCCTGTATTGTTTATATCAAGCATGTTGATCTAGGCAAACTGAACGGTGCTGGACTCTTCGTGACCCAGTGGTGGAGGTGAGTTCCATGATCCTGGGAGATTAGGTCATTTTTCGGTTGGGGGTTTTCCAAAGGAGGGTAATTATACACTGGCTGAGCCCGACGCTCTCAGTGGACGGGCGAGTCCGGCCAATCGGTGGTCGACAGGTACAATGCATTCTGCCATGGCCCTCCGTCTGTTTCTCCTCCTATATGCCTCCATGGTTAGAAGCTTGACGGTGCGCACGCCGCGTAGCTCACCTCCAGTGCATCACGAACCGTTCGGGGGCCCCTTGTATATGACCCAATGTCCTCTTCCAAGCACCGGCCGTGGTAACGGGTGCCTAGCTGACCTGACAGCCACGTCAGAAGGCCTGCGGCGGGGGCTGACGCTTGGTCCCGCAACGGGTTACAAACCGGTGACGCATTAAAGAGATGCCCCGTGGCCTAGTTTCTGCCACCTATCGTTACGTTACGGTGGTCAGCGCTGACGTCACATAGCGAGGCCGACCAACCGCCGCCGGGCTGAAACTTGACCTACCTTCACAGTGATCCGGCGTCTGGCTCCGGCGGCGAGGGCAGCGAAGCGGAGGCGTGGGCAGGCCATTCTGCCAACCCAGAGGAGGAACGCGCGTCACCCCTCCGCCGCAACCACAGTCGTTGCGGCGATGCTGGCGGCGGCCGCGCTTCTCTTGCTGGCGGCGCCGATCGTAGCCGCCCCGCCCAACCTTCGGGCAGCGGCACGTGCGCACGCCCAGCTCGTGACAATAATCGACGCAAGCTTGGCCTCACTCAACCTGTGGCGCAGTGAGATGCACAAATGCCCATCCGTAATACGGGAGCTCGCAGAGTGCTCCTGCGACGAGGAGTGCGCGCTGTACGGAGATTGTTGCCTGGATGTGAGCCCACAGGCCCTGCCCCGCAACGACTTGGCATGCAGGCGATCCCCAGATTTCGGGTATGTGTACATGGTGTCCCGGTGTCCGGTCCAGTGGCGGGACACCTCGGTGCGAAGCCAGTGTGCTCGCAACGCGGCGTTCGCCGAGGATCCGTTCGCGGCTTTACCGGTTACAAGCCCCGCCAGCGGGATGACCTACAGCAACTATTACTGCGCCATATGCCACGGTGACTTAGCAGGGTCTGTGTTTTGGACGCCGGCGATATCCTGTCCGACGCTGACCAAAGAACACCAGGACGCCCTCAATATCACCGATATCTTCATTGAAGAGAACTTACTGCAGAACCCTGCTGGAGAGTGGGGATTGCAGCTGATGGACGAAAACAACGGAACGTTTCATGCGTGCGTAATTTCCCTACATTCGGGCAATAACGACAAAGAACATTTGATGCGGAACTGTCAACCCAAGATTTCCAGCTGTGCGGCTAACTGGACCAACCCAGACCTCGCCCGAATGTGCGCCGCTTACAATGCCTACATGTATCACGGCAGAATCAGGTACCGCAACGCGCACTGCGCCCTGTGCAACTATGTACCACAACAGTACATTATGTACTGGCCGGTCACCAACAATTTTGCTGAGGGAAGGCGTCCTCGCATGCATTCATCAGTCTTTCTTCTCGACATCACCACCCGGTCGGGCATGAACGCAGTGGGAGCAGCCAGGGTCTGTACCGGCGCCCGACTCTGGGACCCGTTCTTCAAGATCTGCAGGGAAGTCTCAGTTTCCTCTGGCGTCACCAACGCCACCGGCTCCCTGACCTGCCCCAAGGTTACCGTAAACGAGTACCAGTTTCAGGTCAGCGACAAAGACGTCGCGTACGTGCCGACGTATAACCTGATCTTGGATCGCGGCTATTATGAGCTCAGTGACGGACAGCTAGCCTTTTGTGACCCGCGTTTCCAACTTAAAAGGTTCCAGACCGCCTTTTCATACGCCTTGGTGGCATGTCGTACAGCGTCCGTGTTGTGCCTCCTGCTGCATCTGGCGGCGTTCTGTGCAGTGCCCGAAACACGGAACCTGCCCGGAAAATGTGTGACGTCCTTGTGCGTCTGCCTGCTTATCGGCTACCTCTGCTCCATGGCGGCATTGTGGCAGGATTACGGCACCGACGGCTGTGTTCTGCTGGCCATTGTTGCTTTCAGCGCATTCGCAGCAGCACTCTTCTGGGTCAATGTTATGGCGATCGACGTCTTCAACACCTTCAGGCGAGTAATATTGGCGAGCATGAGAGCATGACGCACGACACCAGGGCATGAACGCATGATCCGCGTCCACTCTACCGGTTGATAAAAACAGAAACCAAAAATTCACTTTACGCTAAATGACGAAAAGACTGGCGCTCGTACAGAGACCTTAGCCTGCATCAGCCTTTTCGCGCCACGCATGTAAAATGCCTCACAATCCGCTTCTGGTCCAACCTGCGCTAAAAGCGCAGACATCAGTTGATCTATTGACACCCACAAATTGTCTCAGTTTGGTTTAAATCCAGATTCAGGAGGCATGTACAATGATATATACGAAGGCAGGAATGGAAGGGGCGTGTGGATGGTAGCTACCATGTCTATAAAAAACATTGGCGTACAACCTTTCGTGTTGCATGGCGATAACTAGGGTAGCATCTTCCTCCATCCCAAAACGATATGCCAGGACTAGCAAAGAGCAATAATTATGAAGTGCCATTGGCTTCACATCAATTGATATGACAGATGGCTATCGAGTACAAAACATGCACCAGTCCGAGTGTCTCTCAGATGCACCACCTGTTACCTGAAGGCCGCAGTCAGTTGCAAAATTCTCCCTCAGAGCGTAATGGCCGTGGAGACCTTACATCAGCTGTGAGATATGTGTGGAAGTAAACTACGGTATCAGCGTGCATAAGTGTGGGTGCTGATGACAAAATGTTCCACATTTGAAGATTTTGAAGCAACCGCCACATATAATGAAAGAGGCTGACTCATAACTATTGGTACACTTGTAAGTGGAAAAGGCTGCTCCAGAAAACATGATTTCTATGTTTCGTAAGCATACTCCTCAATACGTCATTGTTTGATTGCGTCATCGCATTTTGCACAGCATTGACTGAGAGTCAATTGACGGCCGATATATGTAGAGATCGTGCTCACGAACGCCAGATATAATTGCCTGAACAATTATATCCTGCTTGGCCTGGATCGTCGCATGGCTAATGAAATGATGGAATTTGAATGACGTGATTTTGACGTCGTGGATACCTGGGTAACATTGAAATGGTCTGCCCGAAATAGTCAGCACATCTCCGCAGGAGCGTAGCTCAGAAACTAGAGGAATTTGTTGAGGTATTTACAAGGCAAGGCTGCGGAATGCACCGAATGATATTGAAAATAGCTAGATGAGTTTAAAACCCCATACAGATGTGATATACTTCCTTTAACTGCGAGGTTTCCTCTGCCTGGACACTTACAAACGGTTACCAATAAAGACAGAGATACGGGAACTGTTGCGTTATGAAGGGCGGGGATGACGTTGGAGGCTCCAGTCCCCTCTAATACTCGAAGAAATTTAGCACTAGACTCACGGCCGTACATGACGGCTTAAAGTGTCTATGAGCCTCAATCTTAGGAAACTTCCGCATTCTCTTATTGGTATGCGAGGTACCAGCAGAGAATTCTTGATTCACTGGACATACCGACCTGGAAGGTCGGTATGTCCAGCAGAAAAAGATGCAACTAAAATCCTGCCGCACCATAACAACAAGCTTTCAACATCATGTCCAAGAAATCCTCGTTTGCATGATAACAAAACAATGTCGGTATGACAAATAAATTCTTAGTACGGCCGGATTCGAAACATATCGTTAAGTGGTATAGTGGTACGCGGATATAAGTGGCGCATGGCTAAGCTAAGTATAAGTGATTGTATGCCTACCCCTGTCTCATGCCTCAGCAATGAACTAATTGACGAGTGACGGGCACCGACCGTCGTAGGACATCGTTGCTGTTCGTTGTTGACGGACGTAGGGCTGCAGGGAAGCTCATAACGATATGTTAACGTCGGGCAGTGATACGCGCCCGGGTGGCCGGTTGGAAACCCTTCGCTGGGGTGGGGGACAATTTGACGCCCCTGAGATCTCAAATCTCATTTTAGGTCAGTGACCTATTCTGACCTATAAAAGCCCGTTGGAGACGTCTTATGCGGTTTCTGTCATCAATTAATTTGAAATGACCACCAGAAACTACCCTACATAGCAGCCCTCAAAGTAATAAAACAGGTTGGTCTCGACCTTTTTATCTGACCCTAGGTTAAAGGAATCTGATCATTCAGTTGTGTTGCCTAGGAAAGCATCTCAGAGATGTGTGGCTTCGTCTAACCCTCCGTTGTTCCATCAGATGCAACGATTCCCTCGAAATTGACTTCGCTGAATTCATGGCCTGACTTTGACCTGCCGTCGGTCAACGACATTACCGAGTACGTCCAATTTTTTAATACCACACGATTCTCTGTTCAATTGAATACAGTTGAAGCAAATTTGGCGCGGCTACTTCGCGCTGTTCGGAAACCATTTCGGAAAAACCCTTGGGGGTTCAATTTGATTTTAAAAAGGTTTTTGGAATGGTTTCCAAAAAAACCGGCATAGTCACGCCAACATTTGTTTAACTGTGGATACTTGAATAGCAGATCGTGTGGCAACAACATTTAGATGCACCTTGTAAGGTCGCTGACCTACGGTAGAGGTCAGTCAGGCAAAACATTTCACTTCAGAGGAGACCATTTCTCGGGAATCGTTCAATCTGATGCAAGGGCGGAGTGCTAGACGAAGCCATACATCCCAAGATAGCTTCTTAGGCAACACAGCAATGTAATTAGCAAAGTCCATTGACCCAGGGTCAGGTAAAAAGGTAAGACCAAGGTCAAAACCAACCTGTTTTACCACTCCAGAGCTTGCTGTATGAATTAGTTTCTGGTGCTCAATTCGAGTCTGTAGATAACAGGAACCGCATTATACATCTTCACGGACTTCTTTAATGTCAGAATAGGTCACTGACCTACAATGACCCAGTTAAAAATCTTGTGGTTGGTGACATACTTCCTAGCGTAAACTGTAACGCTTACTTAAATACAAGACTCGAAGCAGTCTTGTATGATATTGGTCACCATGACCTGCAGAAGGTCAAATAAGATCACTGACCTTAAATAAGCACCACTGACCTCTTACTTACGCAGGTATCAAGGTTCCGGGGGCATTTCAGACACCAACCTTGAGTTTGACCTTGTTTGAACCGAAGGTCATGATCTAGGAATCCCAAATTTTGACACGGCTGAGTTTACATACAGGCCAATACAACCCGTAAATTTAGTGCTTCTGGATTGCTTAGTTGCTGAGATTTCATGGGAAATCGAATTTGTGCAGCGCAAACAAATGTGCAGAACGATGATATCCTTCCTTACAAGCCAGCTGTACAGGTTAATTTCTCGCTGTAAATATATACTAAATCATGCGTGTGTGGACGACCTTCTCCGTCATTGTTTTTTCAAGGAGATGCAAAAGCGCTATGCACAAGCAATTTCAATTTGTATTCAGACCAGAGCCAAGTTGTGCTTCCCAACGCTCATGCCGCCTTTCGGTATGCTTGAAGTTGAAAGGATAATTCCTGATGCAACCATGAGAGTGCATTTTGAACAATGAAGATGAGTCAGAACCTCTGTAAATACGCATGGCTTCTGCGTTCTTCAGGAAAGCGAGCAGCGAGCTGACCGTCTCCAGGGGCTCTCATTTGAAGCGGTTCATCCTCTACACGCTGTACGTGTGCGCTGCCAGCGCGACGCTGGTGACGGTCGCCGTGCTGGCTGACGGGTCACACAGCGTGCCGTACAGCCTCTGGGCTCGCTTCGGCCGA